TAAAGTCAAGTCACCAAGAGGGATACCACTGTTGATGCTCTAGGTGATGGTGCAATGACATCCTTCCTGGTGGTGTTATCTGTCCTAGTGGTAGCATCAGTCCTGTTGGGGTCCCACAACAGGACTGAAAATAGCAGTAGAGGGGACCCCACCATCTCAAATGACACCACTTCTGGTAAGGACACATGCTATGCTAGGAGCGATGCAACCACCAGGAACAACACCACCACATGGAGGAACATTACAACAAGTACATGTACTGACAAAACCACAAGGAATGAAGAAAATAGCATGATGAACACCACCAACACCAAAAACTAAGGGATTCAACAGCCAGGATTGACACAAACACTAGGGCGAACAAGAACACCTGGAAGGATCTGACACCATCACCAGAGGGGACACCACCACTGGTAAGAGGACACCATTGCTAGAAGAGATGCAGCACCAGGAATTACACTACCATATGACGACATAACACAAGCACTGATGAAACCACAAGGAATGAGAACAACAGCAGAAAGCTTATGCTTAGGGGCAAACAAGAAGGCGGGGGCAAACATTTAGTTGGCATAAAGTAGGGAATAACAGGTATGGGGGATCATTGGTAAGGGCTACAAATAAGAGGGGGGTAACAAGAAGGAGGTTAATAGGAGGGAGCTAATGGCTAGGGGGTGGTACAATTAGGAGGTTATCAGAAAGTGGCCTTAAAGCTAGAGGGCTACCAGGTAGGAAGCATGCCAATATGAATGTTAATGCGAGGCAGTAATGGTTAGAGGTTTACAGGTAGGGGGCTACAAATAGAAGGCTTAAAGGTAAGGGGCTAACAGGTAGGGTCTTATGGAAAGGAGGCTCATTGTTGTGAGTGTTTAAGGTTTCGGGGGGCAGTGGTGAGAAAGAAAATTGGCAGGGGGCTAAAACATAGGAGGGCCAATGGGTTCAGGGGCTATTGCGGAGCTGTCAGAACAGGAAGGTGCTTATTAGGTTAGGGGGCTTATAGTTACAGGGGTCAATAAATGCAGGGCTCACAGGTGGGGGCTACAACTTGGAGAGGACATTAAGTAGGGGTTATTATTTAGTGGGATAATGGATGGGGCAACAATGGTTAATAGCTAAGAGGAATAACAACTAGGGGGTTAGAGGGCTCATTGGTATGAGTCAGTGTTAACATGTTATGGGTAATGGTTAGGGGGCTAAAAGTAGCAGGGCCAATACTGAAGGAGTTTCATGTAGGGGTTAAAAGAAGGGGTAAACAGATAGAGGCTAACAGGTACATTTGTAGGAAGCCGATTGTTATGATCAAATGTCAAGGTGTAGGGGATTTAAGGTTGAAAGGCCTATGGGTAGGTAGATAAGGAGTTTTTGTTTGTTTAGGGTTTCATGACCTTGCAACAGCCAAGGTCATAAGATGACTGGTGCCTATGTTATAAAATCTATATACGAGAGTGTTAAGTCATGTGTAAAGCTTCATGGTAAATTATCTCCTATGTACGATTTACAGGTCGGATTATTATAAGGAGCATCTTTATCTCCAATAATGTTTTCTTTATTTGTCAACGACATGGAATCTGAATTGATTAAGTCAAATTGCCAAAGTTATCACTTGCAATTACTTAATTTGTTTTCAATCATTTATGCCGATGACACGGTATTTTTTTTCTGAGGATGTAGTTGACCTTCAAAATATGTTGGATTTTTCTGGACTTATTCTCGACGTTGGAATTTGTCTGTATATGTAGACAAAACAAAAAAAGTTGTTTTAGAAAAAATAAACGATTGCATCCAAACGAGCAGTGGATTTTTGTTTTGATGGTAAAGCTATAGAAATGGTAGATACATTTTGTTATTAAAGTTGTTTTTTTTAGAAATTATAATGGTAAATTTACCATTGCATTTAATAGCATTGCTGTACAAGGAAGGAAAGCTTATTTTCTTCTGAATCGGAAAACGAAAAGATTCTTGTCGAATGAAAAGACCAAGTTATCTTTATTTGATACTTATATATCATGTATTGTGAATTACGGGTGTGAAGTATAGGGTTATAGTCCTGCACCGCAGATTGAAAATATACATTTATTATTTTGGAAAACCTTATTGGGTGTCAGGAAAACAGTAAATAATGCCATGGTGTATTTTGAACTTGGTCATTACCCTTTGCATATACAGCGTAGGATTGCTATTATAAAGTATTGACTTCAAATATTAAAGACTGTTAACTGTATTTCGAGGGCCTGTTACGATGAACTTTTAGAGCTTTATAACAGGAAACCAAATTGTAAAGCAAATTGGGTTTATCATCTGAGACGTGATTTGTGTACGTTGGGTTTTGGAGATAGTTGGTTGGCACAATGTGTACCAAATGAGATTTTTTTTTATTATTATATTATATACAACGCATAAAGGTTACTTTTATTAAGGAATGAGAAACATGTTCGAGACACCTTCAAATAATTTGTTGTATAAACACAGTGTTGATCGTTTTGATCTACAATTGTATTTTACAAAACCGCTATTTAAAAATAAATGTTTTCTTGCGAAATATAGATTGCAAGCACATAGCCTTAATATAGAGACAGGAAGATATAATGCAGTGCCTCGAAACCAGAGATTGTGTACTTTATGTGATCTTGGAGATGTCGAGGATACGTTTCATTTAATTCTTATGTGTCCTGTATTTTTAGAATTAAGAGAATCGTATATCAAGCCATATTATCGTATTCGTCCTTCTGTATTTAAATTAATAAAGCTTCTGTCTAGCAAAAAAAATAAGTAAGTACTTGATTCAAGCACCTGTTAAGAAAAGTCGTATATTATGATATATAAGCTGTATCAAAGTCTCGCTATAAACGTTTTGTTACTGTATAATGTGATTGAGATCTATGTCTTTTCCTTCACAATGAGTTATACAACGCATAAAGGTTACTTTTATTAAGGAATGAGAAACATATTCGAGACACCTTCAAATAATTTGTTGTATAAACACAGTGTTGATCGTTTTGATCTACAATTGTATTTTACAAAACCGCTATTTAAAAATAAATGTTTTCTTGCGAAATATAGATTGCAAGCACATAGCCTTAATATAGAGACAGGAAGATATAATGCAGTGCCTCGAAACCAGAGATTGTGTACTTTATGTGATCTTGGAGATGTCGAGGATACGTTTCATTTAATTCTTATGTGTCCTGTATTTTTAGAATTAAGAGAATCGTATATCAAGCCATATTATCGTATTCGTCCTTCTGTGTTTAAATTAATAAAGCTACTGTCTAGCAAAAAAATTAAGTAAGTACTTGATTCAAGCACCTGCTAAGAAAAGTCGTATATTATGATATATAAGCTGTATCAAAATCTCGCTATAAACGTTTTGTTACTGTATAATGTGATTGAGATCTATGTCTTTTCCTTCACAATGAGTTATAATCTCATTTCATTATGTAATATATAGTAATCGTTCTTCCTTCATGTTGAGGTTGTGTGATTGTCTTTGAAGTTTTGTTATTTCCTAGAAATTTGCTTAGCTTAAGGTTTTATTTGTATTATTTCATAAACAACTAAATTATGCTTCATAAGAGTCCGTTAAGTTACCTTGGGAAAAGCTTCAAGTTTTCCCCAACTTATAAAAATTACAATAATAAATTCACTTCTATCCAAAAACAATTAGCTATCAAAGAACGAAAAGCTATGTTTGCATTATTTTCAAAGTGTTCATTATTAAACTTAAATGTAAAAACTATGCTACACCTTTTCGATACATATGTAAGCAGTATCCTTTTTATGCAAGTGAAATTTGGTGTATGCACAAAGCTCCAGAGATTGAACATGAACATTTACATTTTTGTAAGAAATTACTTAAAGTGAAGAAATCGGCCAATAACAACAAGGTATATCTTGAATTGGGACGATTACCTCTAGTTTGTATGAGAAAAATTAGAATGATGAAATATTGGTTTAAGATCTTAAAATCTAAAAATTTTATCATATCCACTTCCTATAGATTTTTATTAAAATGTTGTAATAAAAATGATTTCAACTGGGCTAAAGCAGTAAGAGATGAATTGAATAATCTAGGTCTTAGTGAGTTTGGTTAAATCCATGTTTTTCTCAGCAAATTGTGTTATATACCATTGATAAAACAAAGAATTTTTGATCAAGGCATACAATCCCTAAGGGCCTCAATGGAAAACTCTTCAAAATGTTTATTGTATAAAAAAATCATTGATTTTGGAGAAAATATATACCAATAAAATATCGCATTTGCTTAACTCGAATCCGTACATCTACACATTCTTTGGCTGTAGATGTTGGAAGGTTATTTATTAAAAGTTTAAAGCCGTTCAGTTATTGAGTGTCCATAATATAAAATAATTGTGTATACTAGGAAAATTCATCTATGAGGCAAACAAATTAAGGGTATTATAATGGAATATGATTGCCATCATTCTCTGTACATTGTCCATGATTTGTGTATAACATGTATAGTATACTGATGTGCCAATGGCCAAAAGTTCGAATAAAACTTGAAACTTTAAATTTCGATCGTATAGCTGAACATGGATTGGCGAATATTGCTGTATACACATTGTTTCACCGACAAGTTGTGATGGTGTAATCAATTACGTTAACAATGAGACGTGTATTACTTTATATTTTTAACAAATGTTGCCCCTAAAAAGATCAGTTTGTTCATAGTCGATGACAAAATAACACAAGAAACGTTTATTGAATTGAAATTTAATATAAATCCATTACTATCTCGCAGAAGATTGAGGAGTCGAACACGGTTAGAGACATATTGGTCAGGCGCGTGGTGTTTTACAAAAAAGGTTGAAAAACAACAATTGCAAATCAATTAATCACGTAAAATTTGTAATGACCTACATTGTATAGGCATTTTAACTATGTATGTGTACATGTAAGTCACATAAAAAAAATGACACATAAATTTGTCCAGATTATTTTCTAGTTTTCTAGTGGTGTCTAACCATGTGCGTGTACTATTCAGGTGTTTGACAGGATTTATATTATTCCGAATTGGGTAAGTTTTGTTCGCTTATATTTGCACTAGTGAATAATGATTGTAATTGATACACAAGGTTTCTTTCATATTAGTAACAAACAAAGTTATTTATGCTGTTTACATGTACACATTTCAGGGGCGGATCCAGGATTTCCTCAAAGGGGGTGCCGAGAAATTTTTCTCAATAGTCATCGGTGTGCTGCCGAAGGCAGCACCCTGAGCGCGTAGCGCGAGGAGGGGGAGAGTACGGGAGAGGGTCTTCCCCGTCCCTTAAGAATTGTGTTTTCTAGAACGTCTTAGATGCGATTTCCCGTGTTCTGAGGATTGTTTTTATGTTTAATTAACAAGAAGAAAACAAAAGGCCCATGGGCCTTAACGGTCACCTGATATATTTATACAGAGAGTTTATTTTGTTTTTAACATGAACAGAAATATTATTCAAAGCGACAAAAAACAATAAAACCACCTTATTCAATATCTAGCATACAGATTTCAGACTAAAAAGTATTTGAAACTAGCACCTCTGTTTCTTAACAAGGAAAATGAAGAAATTTTAGCACACTGACTCCTTTGAGCCCCACCCTACAGCCCATGGGGGTAGGGCCGGCTCAAAATTTTCAAAGTATCAAACTGTCAACTCAAGGTTATAATTCCAATCATGTTATTAACATGTAATATTCAAAGTATCATTTGCCATTATAAACCATACTAAATTTTGCCCCCTCTCTCTTCCCCAGGGGGTAAACGTGAGACCCCTAGAGTCATAAACCTTAAGACACTTCCATCTATGAAGAGTATTTGATTCTACCATATACGGGGCTTGAGAAGAAGATTTTTGAAATTTCAGTAAATTCGACCCTTTTTGGCCCCACCCATCAGCCCCTGGGGGTCAGTCAGTGCTGATATGTGCATACTATCAAACTGCTACCTAATACTGATAATGCTAACTCAAATTGAATTACTTCCAATGGAAATTAAACAAATGTTGGTCCAAAATGTGATTTCCCTATATAAACTATAGTAAAGTTTACTTCCTCCCCAGGGGGAAACATGAGACCCCAGGGTCAAGAAATTCACAAGTTTGATAAAGCACCTTAAGATCCTTCCGCATATGAAGAGTATTTGATTCTACCATATCTGGGTCTTGAGAAGAGGATTTTTGAAATTTCACTCAATTCAACCCTTTTTGGCCCCACCCATCAGCCCCTGGGGGTCAGTCAGGGCTGATATGTGCATACTATCAAACTGCTACCTAATACTGATAATGCTAACCCAAATTGAATTACTTCCAATGGAAATTAAACAAATGTTAGTCCAAAATGTGATTTCCCTATATAAACTATACAAAAGTTCACCCCCTCCCTTTTCTACCCAGGCTATCCGTGACCTTATTTGAGCACCTTTTGCTGACCTCACATATCTTTCCTCCAATTCCCGTTCTTATTCTTGTTGTTCAATTAGTTTTTGTTCAGTCATTGTGACATTCGATTGATTAAGAAAAGCCAGTTTATCTTCCATAATCTTAATATCATTTTGATTTTTGCGGGCATGATTTTTGCAAAATTGTATTGTCTCTTGTTTAATTAGTACCTTGCAAAAGTCCTAAGATTTTCTTTTATTTAATTGCATGATTTCTCATTCCCGTTTTGATTGTATTATCACTTTTAATATACTACCGTTAATCTTCCAAACCTCCTTTCCTCTATTATCTCTAATTACCTTCAATGTGAGTGATATACCTTGATGGTCGGTGTATTTGATTTGGGCCGGTCTTATATCTACGCTCTGAACTGTATTAATTATATCTTTTTCTATCAGAAAATAATCAATCCTACTTCCTCCTCATATCTGTTACGTCTCCATGTATATTTGATTTTTTTGTTATTACCTAATCTCCAAATATCAACTAAATTTAGAGATTTTTTTGTATTTGTTACTCCATATGTCCTTTTAAGGATCCTGTTTTGTACACTTGTTTTTCTATCAATCTTTTCGTGCACCTCGTTAAAATCGCCACCGACTATAAAAGATCCAGCTTTATGGTTTGTTATTTGTTTCTGTACATTTTTAAAGAACACATTTCTATTTTGTTCACAATTCGGTGCATATACTTTAACAATTGTATACACATCATTTTCAATTTCAATGTTGAGTATAATAAATCTACCATTCTCATCAATTACCTTCTTTTGTACATCGATATTCAATTTATTGTTCCATATAACCGATACACCCCTGCTTTTATTGTCACCAAAACTTGATATAGCTGTAGCAAAATTGTGTATTTCATTGTTAATTACATCAACCAGATCTTCTGTAAAGTGTGTCTCCTGTAGAAATGCTATATCAAATTTCTGATTATTAAGCCATTCATATACTCTGAATCGTTTCGATTTCTTTCGAAGACCCCGAGTATTCAATGACAATACATGTATAGTATTAGGGATACCAATCATAATTGTATGCATTTTTCATTATACCATCACAACACATATGGTAACATGCAATAATAATGATAAAAGCACTCAGCTCCTTTGTACAAAACTGGAGTATTTGTATCATTATACAACAATAACAAATATAGCTATACGTATTTCTTATACTTATGAAATTACTCCGTCTATTTCTTACAAATAACTAAAGTACTGTGTCAGTCTTAAAATGTCTTGTTTCATTATCGCTCTCTTTTACATCAGTTTTGTTATACATATACGGGGTTATCGCGGAGTTGACTTTGTGTTGTTCGAATTCAGGGTTTAGGTACTTTAAACCAGTCAACAGTCTCAATACTCTGGTGTCGCTTACTTTAGTAAGATTGTCTGGCGACGCTTTCTAACTGTACACACACGTGCCACGCCGCAGATCGTAAAATTCAATTCATCATTACTCGGTCAATTTTTTTAATATCAAATTGAAATTTGATTAAAGGTGCATTATAGTCATATAAACAACATATCTTCTGTCGCTTACTTTATTCAGTATTTGTATAGATTGTGTCTGGGGACGCTTGTTGTCGCTTGAAGACGCGTGTTGTCGGTTGAAGACGCTTTTTAAGGGACATGACGTGAAGAGCCATTTTTTTAATGAATGTATGTGTTGTATGCACTTCCACTTATGTTACCTTGCTATCATAGTCCGTTCAAAATGTCCACTTTGACCACTTGAATTGTTCGGGAAAGCCCTGGCGGTTTTGAAACGAGGCCGTCAACACAGGTGGTCTGAACGAGATCCAAAGGGGCCCCCAGAGAGGGGGCCGTCAGGCAACTGCAACTTCTTACCGCACTATGAAACCAAGTAATATCATTTTCTAGTCCGTGTTGAAACTTATTGAATCAGTAATTATTCATCATCAGAAGTTAAAATTGCACACATGCCAATATTCAGAATTTAAATGAAGAAATATTTGTTGGCAACTCGGCATTATTTATAGACACCAGGAAATACCTATTACCTGAATGTGACCGGTACACACCAGCGTGAAGTTGGTTACTTATTCAATATTGGGCTAGCCCAATATTGGGCTAGTTTGATATTCAAATGTACCTAACATAATAGTTCGTATGCCGCTTTTTCACACCTATACCACATCTGGGCATCTTCTTAGGTATCCACAGGCAAAACGGCATCAACGATACCCCAGGCTAAAGATGCCCACTGGGCATCATTTCGAATTTCAGTACATAATCGTTAATTTTTCGTTTTCAACAGGCCACGGCATATTGTTATAGGTCTTATGCCGCTTTTTCACACCTATACCACAACTGGGCATCTTCTAAGGTATCCACATGCAAAACGGCATCAACGATACCCCAGGCTAAAGATGCCCACTGGGCATCATTTCGAATTTCAGTACATAATCGTTAATTTTTCGTTTTCAACAGGCCACGGCATATTGTTATAGGTCTTATGCCGCTTTTTCACACCTATACCACAACTGGGCATCTTCTAAGGTATCCACATGCAAAACGGCATCAACGATACCCCAGGCTAAAGATGCCCATTGTGTCTCACACGACGCATTCTTTAACAATATTTGTGTAACACACTTCTTATTATTTATGACTTGCGCAAGTCTAAAATGTCTTGGTTATATCACATAGATTTCTACGCACTCGTATTTTAAATAGAATGGATAATCTGCATTTCTACTGCAGCAGGAACATCAGCATTTTTCCCCAGCATAGTAAACCGAACCAATATAAATTAAATGTCAGCTTTCATTCATCATATTGGTGTAATTATACTAATATTAACGGGACTATTTCTGCAAATTACGAACTACCTTCGTATACAACACCGCCGATTGACTGCCTATATTTATCCATTGTTTCTCTGACGTCATTTCGTACTCTGGGAATCCCCATCTACAGTCAGGTACTGTAGACTTGCCCAAGTGCATGCCTGATACTTTGCAGAATTGAATTATCAGTGACAATTACCATGGCAGTTTTTTTTCTTCTCCAGCGGATGTGCTCTTTCGAAATCTAAAGACCTATGATGAACTGATTATGTAAATGATAAATGATGTAAGTAGCCTAGTTATTTCCGCACCCCATCCCGCTCGTCAATTGATCTAACTCCCCATTTTCTCTATTTTCCTGAATGAAACGGTTCCTACATATATAGCTTAGGTTATTTTTCACTTTGACAATCATACCTATATGTGTATAAGGACGTCAGTTACTTCACTTAGTTAATAATTTATCGTACCTTTACTATTGATGTTATCAATTTTTATCGTTGTTATAAAAAACTCAATCAGTTCTCTAGGTGCGATTTTTTTTATCATCAAATTGTAGCGACCGCCCGAACATCTTCATTGGTACGCATGCGTACGAAAGGATTACAGAATTACTTGCCATATGTTACACTTTTGTCGACCGGAACTAAAACTCCAATGAATGGCAGTTTCAACATATACACTTACATATGAACAGATCCCGTCATAGGAGTCAAATTTCCCCTTCCAGACATCATGACAAAATGTTCGTTTTAGCGAGTCAATCACTGTGACTTAT